ACTTCTATAAACAAGCCAATTGTGGGGTTAACCCCTTACAGCCTGCACTGCTTATACCATGCTTTGGGCATAATCAGTGGGGCAATTCTCCACAACTTGCCTCATCTTACTCAATACTTAAAAGACTCTAGGTAGTTCCATCTTCTTCATATGGTCGTGGGCTGGCCACAGCATCAGATACCACACAGATCCAATTTGTACTATGAAGGTGAGAAGAGGTGTGGCCCAGAGAAGTTAAGTGACCTACTCAAGACCACGAGACCACTTCTCCACAGAGTCAGGAATAGAACTTGGATCTAAAATGTGTAGTTTAATGTTCTTTCTCTCTTCCTATGTTTTAGTTAAAGCATTAAGCTCTCTGTACAAATACATTTACAATATTTGGGACTCTTCTCAGATGAAATGAGTCAGAATCTCTGGAGGGTAAGGCCCAGGCCTCAGGTATTTTTTCTGAAGCTGATCAAATGATTTTGAATGCAGCAATGGTGAGGACAAGGGTGCCCCCAGTCATGCAATAAAATATTGATGATGTGCACAAATACTTCCTTACAAAGTATGATGCATTATATTATAGAGCATGATCTTACTAACCTGGCATTTTATTAGGAGCTATTTTTAAAGTCAAATACAGACAGTAATAGAGGCTTTAATAGCTATTTTATTACCTTAACAAGCGACATCTTACCTGTCTGTTAGTGCTAGAGCTAAACAGAGAAAACAATCAATCATTACGAAAATTCCTGAAATTTTTGTGACATTCCACTTGTTTTCTAGATATTTTACCTCTGGGGTATGTATAAATTAGGTAACCCTAGCTATTATTTATTGATACTTAGATACAGAAAATAACTCAGATATCTTTGAGGTTATAGGAAGACAAAGTTTCATGCTTCAGTACCTATCAAATAGGCTTTGTGTCTTTTCTACACCAGAGAGAATATTAATGTTAAATACCTGTAAAAGTACATAAATCCCCATGCAATGATTTAGTGCTAAAATGTAAAGTTCTTAAAATTAAATACATTCATTTAAATGGCTTCTGTGTGGTTTCATGAGACATAACATGTTTGCTGAAAGAATAGCATAAAATGTGTAGTGAATGGCTTGGAGAAAGTTAATATTGCATGGTTTCTTTTATATGAGAAACCCAAATTATAAATAAGAGCAAAATAAAAAATTATAGGAAGTAGGGAGATTTTTCTGAAAAGGGAAGGAGATGAGATGGAGGGAAGGGTAGGGCAAGGAGGGAAAGGGGATGAAAAAAGAAAGTAAGATGTGTTACGTGCGTGTAACAACTCCTCATGAGGAGTTATGTACTGTATCATTATGTACTGTAAACATAGACTAATAAAAAACTTTTTAAAAATTGGCAGGCAAAAACAAAAGAAAGAAAAGAAAGTGAACATTTTAACTGAACTGCAGCAGCTCCAATAAATGTGTCAGCTCCATATGAACCAGCAGCCCTTTAAATAGACAAATCCGCATTCCTGATTCATCATTTCTATGTGTGTAATTGTGGCTGTGTGGGTTTGTGCAGAGGGAGGTCCTCCTATTATTAGGGCATAGCTCACGGGAGGCACAGACTGAAGCACTAAGCCGAACCACTCTGTGTTTCTTTCCACCACAGTTCTGGATCTAAAGGAAATCATAGTAATAAATCCACTCATTTCACAAGTTAGTCAGCTATCCATAACCTTCCCTCAATGTCAAAGTGGATGTGGATTTTTATATGTGTTAGAATTCTTTTTAATTTAACAAAAATCCCTCAGATTATCAGGTTAATCAATGAGAAAATATAGTTTACTGTTCAATAGACTTTTGAACTTTCTCAATTCTTTTTATCTACCTCTTTAATTATATATTGAAAGAAAAATAAGAGATTTTTTTCTTTTTGAGTTCTTAAACCAATTGCAGAATGGATTAGTCCTCAGGAAAGACTTTTTTTCCCTAAACCTGTAATAGAGACTAACTAACAAAGAGTATCATTACATTTGATATGTAATTCTTTTTTCTTATTTTGTCTGTAACTGGATTAGAAGTTCTTTGAGTGCAGGGGACAAGTTCTTTGGGATGTGGGCAAGGTGGCACATTCCTATAATCCCAGCTACTTGGGAGACTGGGATGGGAGGATCACAAGTTCAAAGAAAGGAAAGAACAGGAAAGGAAATGAAAGGAAAGGAAGAAACAAGAAAAAAATTCTTTAGGTTCAGGGTTGTACTTGTGTGTGCATATAGCAATGCTATTATAGAGATATTCAATAAATAGTTGATTTTGGTTAGAACTGCAACAGTCACTGTCCCAAAAAGAGAATGAAGCAATATAGTGTGTAGTAATTTGCTTGGAAATTTGTACTTTGTCTTTATTTTATAAGACTTTATTTAATTTCTCATATAATTAAAAATTACCCTAAAAGGTCATGATTTTTTCCTTCACATGAGACTAAGAAGGCCCCAACTGGTGATCATGTAGCCAAATTTACAATATATTCTTTTTTTTTTTTTCATAAAGTAGCATCTGGGGCTGGGGATTTAGCTCAGTGCTGCCCCACCTGCCTCACAAGCACAAGGTCCTGAGTTTTATCCCTGGTATCAGAAAAAAAAAAAAAAAAGTAGCATCTGATAGAAGAGAATTCATGCTCAAGGTCTCGTATTTTGAATATTAAATTTAACAATATATGTTGAACACTTCTTCCTATTTTTCAGGGATTTAATTTCTTTGTGTGTGTGTGTGTGTGTGTGTGTGTGTGTGTATGTGTGTGTGTGTGTGTACATGTACTCTAGCATACTGAGCCACCACCCTGCCCACCATACCTTCATTAGAGAAAAGCAGTCCAGGCCAGGGATTTAGCTCAGTGGCTCTGCTGCCTGCCTCGAAAGCACAAGGTCCCGAGTTCGATCCCCAGTTCCAAAAAAAAGAAAAGCAGTTCAATCCCATTTTGTCTCTAGGGTGCATGCAATGACTAATGAATAAATGACTTAAAATAGTTTGTATTATGTAAAAAAAAGCTCACTAAAGTAGAAATTGTGCTCCTCATTGTGCTGATCATTGTGCTGATCATGCTTTGAAAAGCAGAAATCTCATAACAGATGCCAGGCTTCAGGTGTGTGTGCCTCGTGCATCTCTGCTCTGCTCCTGCCAGGGGTTTCCTGGCCCTCTTCTGAGGGAAGCTTTGCAGCATCCCCAACAGTCCTGAGGTGCTCCTATGTGAAGGGAATGTGTCACATTTCAGAACACATTGCCACAGAGCCACCAGGAATTCAGTATCAACTTAATATGAATCCATTTTACTAATCACAAGGAAGACTAATGTAAAAGTGGTGTTATATATGTGTATTTCATCTATAGGTATTTAGATTTTCTAACCCCTTAGAAAGAAGAAAATCGCTGATTTGGCTGTCCTACAGTCATTACTTAGCTGGAAAATTCTACATGACTTGATTATTTGCCTCCAGAACTGTTCTGTCTTCAAATATGTTTTGTGCCTTTAAGGGGAAATATGACTGTGCTTTATTCTATGTATATGTATATTTAAATGAATGATTACTGAAAATTGTTCTCAATTATTTTTTAAAAAGGGATCCAGTACTGCTTTGCAGAGGCAGTGCAAATCTTCCCTGATGTGTCATGGTGCAGTCACTCTTGGAAAGCAATGGCTCAAAAATTGAGTAAACATAGAGCCCATAAAGGAGAGGTTTCTTCACACCACGTAAAATCGGCCCTTTGAAGAGCACATCGCTGTGGAAAATTTGGAGAAGAGCACATGAATTTTTTCATCATGATGATATCTCACGCTTGCCCTGGTCAGCTCCAAAGTGGCGAATCCCTCCCCAGTATCCATGCCACACATAGCCCTGGCGCTGTGGCAGTCAGATGTCATCAGCATGACCCCACCCCGTCCTCTCCTCTCCTGGGCACGGCCGGCGCTGGGTGAGGCAGAGGCTCCTGAATGCTTCTCCGTGTCACTCCTTCATGGCCCCGAGGTCACAGGCAGAATAAGGAATCTATTCTGGTTGACCCCATTCAGCTGTTTCTCTCCCAGATCCAATTTGTAGGACAGAAGCCACTTAGACCCCAGCACTCCCATTCCTGTCTGTAATTTACCAAACTCATGATCCCTCCCACTGCTCCCTGAACCTTCCAGTCACCAGTGCCAACTTTCTGCGCTCCAACCCTTGCACACTGAGAACTAAGCAAGATGTCACTTCCTGTTCCTGGGCAGTTCAGGGCCACACTTCGGACCCTAGCTGCTCCTCGCCTCTGCCCAGTGGCTCCTCTCGCCTCTGAGTGTCGGCCTCACAGTGGTCACTCTCAGGAGCAGGGTGCACCACCCCAGCCTTGCGGGTGGTGCTGGTCCCTCTCCTTGTCTCCCTGTGGCCTGCACTGTGGACACCCAGAGAACTTGCTGAGGGCCTGAACAGTGAAAAGCTTAGGAACGGAAAGAGATGAACATTTTCAAGCACAGATTCTGATATTAAAGAACCTTGGGGTAAGGGAGAGAAAAGCCAAATAATGACAATGATTTTAATTTCTAAATATTTCTAAATTAGAAATATCTGGTAAACGTTAACATCCGTCAGTCCCACTTTCTACTCTCATGTCTGTGCACCTTTCCATTGGCTCAGTACCCCAGGCCCTGGGGGAAGAGGAGAGAAATGACTTAGGCACAGAGCCCATGCAGGTAGGGCTGGCACCCAGGGAAAGCTGAGCTACGGCACAGTTGGTTCCCAGCGCAGGCCCAGGCCTGGACTGTTTGTCTATGCAGCCACAGGACCATGGGCGCTGGAGGGGATCAGGATGACCGAGTTCCACGTGGGATTAAGAAGCACAGCCCTGGGGAGACCCACGGGACCAGGCCAGTGGCTCCCACAGGACAGGGAAGTGACAGAGCCAGGGTGCCCTGAGATCTCCAGGGAGGGGCGCTGGTTGAACACGCACCCCAGCTCTCCAATCCAAGAGGGGACCCATGCAGCGACGCCCATCACCCTGGGGCCTCGGCCGCCCAAGGCCGTGGGTGACCCTGGAGGCTGCCAGCCCTTCTGTCTCCTCGCCCACCTCCTCTTGGTGAGGCTGAGGTCGAGATGGAAAAGTTTGGGGAGGAGCCGCGAGCCAGGAGGACATGTTTGCATTCCTCAGCCACCGCTCTCAGGTGCCTGGACAGGGAGGAGGACATCCGGACAGTCCCTGACCGCCACTCCTCCCGGGGGCTGAGGTTATGAAACTCTGGGGACTTTGCACCCAGCCCAGGCCCCTCCCCAGACTTATAAATGTCGCGGGGCTGGGCAGTGGAACTCACTTGCCTGGCAGGCCCGGTGTCAGAGGGACTCGGCAAACGCGTGGCTCCAGGCTTTCCAGCTCCGCGCCTCTCCTTGGGCAATCCGCTCCCGCAGTGCGCAGTGCGCAGCCCGAGGTCCCGCTCTTCGCCGCCGCCGCAGTTAGCAGGATGGAGACGCGTCCCGCGGGCCCGGCCCGGGCGCTGCTGCTCTGCCTGGGTAAGCCTCGCCGTCTCCTCCGCCGGAGAGGAGACAGCACTGCCCTGGGCATGTGTCCTGAGACATGTACGGAGCTGTCCAGAGTCAGCGCATGGCAGCTAAAGATGTCTCTCTGAGTGTCTTTCCCTGTGGGCAGGCTGGGGGCGCCAGGGGAACGAGGGTGCAAACTACACCCCTGCTGAATTAATGTTTGGTGTTTGTGTCGTGTTGCATTAATACAGCTTCCTGTTTGGTGAAATAAAACTTGAAAACTATTGCTTTTTTTCTTATGAATATTTGCCAGAGTTGGAAACCCCAGCACCCGGGCAGGAGCTGGTGCTGGCGCTCGGTTCCTTCTCGGTGAGGAGGAGGGTGGAGGTCTCTGTAAAGAAGGGCAGTCCTGGGGGCTCTCTGGGCACGGGTCCCCACTCGGGTCCCCCACGTGGGTCCCTCGGGCCCTCGGGATTTATTAGGCAGGTGATCACTGGCCCCAGGCAGGGGGAGACCCTTACGTGCCTCTCTGGTTAGAAAAAGAAATCAATGTACCCGGTTCCTTAGCCTGTAAGGAGCCGGGCATTGTGAGCAAGTGTTTTCGCGCCACTATTTTAGTCAGGGAATCACAGTTCCCAGGGGATTTCCTCCTGGAGCTGCGGAGAGCCGGGTTCCCTGCAGGGGGCGGCGGGGACTCTGTGTCCACAGCCTGATCTCGGCTGGGCGCCCACAGCGCTTCTCCTGAATAACTGGAACTGGGGCGGCCGCGGCCCCAACTCCGGGACCTGAGGGGAGCCCGCATCCTAGGGTCCTGGCGAGGCTGAGGGAGGAAAGACCTGCAGAAGTTTCTCGACAAAATATGAGGTTCTCTGTGGGTCGCTGTAGAAAGAACGAGAGAGAGAGAGAGAGAGAGAGAGAGAAGGAGAGAGAAGAGGTGTCCTTGTCCTCAGGTGGCCGGGCCAAGCGCCTCTCCCCGGCACCTGTGAGGATTCGGGCAGGGCACCGCGGCCTGAGGATAACCTGGTCACCGCCTAGCCAGAGCCCTCGCTGTGTTTTTGTTGTCATGAAAGTGCTTAGCTCTTTTATGGCTACGGCGTTACTTAATTACAGCTCAGCAGTCGCCCAGCCCGTTCACAAATGAGCTGGGTCAGTTTCTGTTTTCCCAGTCTGTTCGGATGTTTCTCTGCCACTAGGAAAGCAGTTCCTGCTGGAGCCAGGCAGTGATCTGCACCTTCTGTGGGGGTGTGAGTCCTTCATCCCCCAGCAGCAGAAAAAGCAAGGTCATCTGCTACTTCTATTTTTTTTTTTTTTTTTTTTTTTTTCTGAGACAAGGCCTGGCTTTGCTGTGCAGACTGGCCTTGAACTCACTGTGTAGCCCAGGCGGGTCTCGAACTATGGGTGATCCAGCTTCAGCCTCCCAACTGATGGGACTACAGACGTGTGCCACCACATCCAGCTTACCTGCTACTTCTGTAGGCGCCCTTTTCCCCCTGAACAAAAATTACAGAGAAATGTTATCCCCAAGCCCCGTCCATCAAAAGGAAGAGAATTTTATTTTGGATTTCAGCGCATTCCTTATTGTTACCCTCTGTGGAATTTATACATATTTATGATGAGGAAAAAGTTCCTCTTCCTCCTCCCTGTATGCAGATTTAAAATGCCACATGCTTGCTCCCACAGTCATTTGATTGTTTATGCATTTTATAAGTGTTTGAGATTGATGTCTTGCTTTATAAATTGGGAAATGGCTGCTCCTAAACTTCCATCAAGACTGGCAGACAGAGTTCTCACTTGAGTTTATTAGCAGTTTTGGCTTCCTGAACACTAACTAAAAGGGGTGAAATTCTCCAAATTAGAGAAGATTTTCCTGAATAATCTGTAGTTTTCCAGCTCAAGCCTCCTTTCTAGGTTTGAGATGATTCCAGATTTTTATCTTGAGTTCTGCAGTTATGTTTGGGAGATCTTAGTCTAAGCCCCACCATTCTCTGCTGTCACACGGGTCTGGAGCCTGCTTCAACTTCAGGACAGGGAAAGGGGGGAAGCAGGGCAGGCGTTCCTTTCTGATGCTCTGACAGGCGAGAGCCCAGGCACCCTCGGCTTCACTTCCGGTCTCCCGACCTTGGGAGCCCTGAGCTCACTGAGCTGGCGCAGGCAAGGTGTGTCTGCTAATGCTGCAGACTCAGCCCTCTCAGGCCTCCGCACGAGCCTCCGTGTGGGCAGGGGGGACAGTGGGCTTGGGATTCCAGCCCAGGACAGAGTGGCGGCTCAGAGTCACCACCACCCATGGGGCTCAGGCGGCACCCACTGTGTGCTGGCAGAGCTGTGTGTGAGGTGCGCCCCATGGCACCTCATTTACTCCCCAAATAACACATCAGCAGAGAGCAGTCACCCCACCTTGAACCCAGGCGAACCTGGAAGGAGTAAAGACTGGAAGTTCTAGGTCAGCCTTGAAGAATGCGAGAGGAGCCAGTGGGTATCAGGGTTGGGGGAGCAGAACAGAAGTAACAGGTTCTAAAGGCACAGCTTGGGGCCTGAGTTTCTTGCCCTTCACACAGAGCCCGGCATAGACAACGCATGACTGATCTCTCACTTCAAGCTGAAAAATGCTGACTTTTTACCTTGGCTTCATGATTTGTATCAACATAACTCTTGGATATGACTTTTATTATAAACCAATCATTGAAATAATGCTAGGGCATTATTTCTATATTTCCCAAGGGTGTATTAAGGAAAGTCATCAAGGAGAAGGGTACCTAATGTCTTCTTTATTCTTTGTATCTGTTTTAATAATTGTAAATTGAATGTAGCATTGCTAAGGCAGCAAGTTGAAGTCGACAGCCCATCCCTATTGGCAGTGAGAAAGCAGACTTATTTCCTCTATTTAAGAAGTCAGTACTCACAGGATCACTTTGGAAAAATGGAATTTAAAATGGAATTTTCTGGCCACTTTTGTAAAATAATCTTCCATTTCCTGATAAGAGATGCAAATGTCAAATGAATGTTCTTTTCCAAGAGATCATAAATGAAGAGGTGGGCTCTTCTGAGTATCAGCTGAGCAAGCTGTGTGGTACAGGGCTGCGTTCCCCTTGGGAAGGCCCCGCTGGAGACACGGAGGGCTGCCAGGGCTGCCAACAATTTGGGGCCTGTGGAAAGGGCGGAAGCGAGAGGACAGTGTCCTCCGGAAGTGACATTTATGGAAGATGAGGCGTCTCCTACAGTGCAGATAAAGGTTCAGTGGCATTCTAGGTTAGAACAATGATTTAATTAACTAGGATCCTCAGGATAATTTCATACATATTCTGGAAAATGAACCTCTTATTAGAGTCTGTATTCACTGGTGGCTTACTGACCAAGTATCCATTGTGTGTGTGTGTGTGTGTGTGTGTGTGTGTGTCTGTGTTTGAAGAAGGATGTGAGAGGCAGAGAGAATAGATCCTGAGCAGTGTTAGGAATGATGACAGGAAGCACTGTTTCAGAAATGAGAGGAACCTCTGGTCATCTAATGGTCTCCCCTACCTCCAGCCCACCGCACTGCCTGCTCTCTGATTTCAGACTCTGGGAAACTTGATCCAGAGGTGTAAGTGAACTTCAGTTGCAGGACTAGAGCAGGGCTCCTATCCGTGTGTCTCTGCAGGGTTTCTGAGCCTGGCCTGTGGCTGTGGCCTGCTTGCTGCCGTGGCTACCCTCTGGGTGGCTGTTAGCATCACTCCATCTCCACCCACTAGATGTCAGCCCTGGATGTGACAACCAGGGCCATCCCAGACCTCGCCCAATGGCCCGGCTGGCGACATTGCTCTTGGGTGAGAATCACTAACCTAATGTGGTTTGTTAAAATTGCTGTAACTTATTGCCACCCATATTCCTCAGTTTTAATAATTAGTACTTGAGTTACGAAGACAAATAAAATAAAAAATATTAATGGTGAGCTGGATACTAGCAGAAAACCAATTCTAGTGTTTAAAAAAGTCAGCTTTGGTGGCTCAGTGATAAGATGCTTGCGTAGACTGAAGTCCTGGGTTTGATCCCCAGCACCATACACACACACACACACACACACACACACACACACGTGCACACATCTGCGTGTACCTCAGGTTGGTGATTTTTATTGCTGATCGTAGCCCTGAGTTATGATGGAGTTATTAGTGCTTTTTTCAGTCATGGCCACTCCAAACTCTCTTCTGACTACTTTCTGGACTCGCACTTGAAACTTTTTTTTTTCTCCAAAGTCTTTCTTTTCCCTTGACCATTTCCATCTGCTCTCTACCAAATCCTCTTCTCTCACTGCATTCCATTTTCCACTCAGGCTGTGTGAATCCTCCATGCCTGCAGGAAAGATCTCCTCCCAGGACTTCCAGGGACACCTCACCCTCGCCCCTCCTGCTCCTGCCCTCTAAACTTCGTCCTGGACACTCACAGTGGCCGTGGGTGACACAGGGATGGGTCACTCAACCTGGCCCTCTAGGCATCCTCTCTTCACATCATCATGCCTTAGTGTTCCATGTCGCCTCTCTTCTTTCCATGCCGCCCTGTGCAGGACCTGGGGTCTGCAGGCAGGACCACACCTTTCCCTCCAGCTTGTCAGTAACTCCTATATGGAAAATGCTCAGTGGAGACTTAGTGGAGAAGGAATCATCCAACATACGTAGCTAAGGAAGACCAGGTCAGCAGGAGATTCCCTCCTGTCCTTCCTGGCCATTGGGTATAAGGAAGTCCTCCCTCTTCCCCTGCTGCCCTGCTGTGGACCCTGTGGCCTCTCCCTCTCCCTGAGGTTGCCTCCCTGGTGCTCACCACACCTGGATTTTCACCAAGGAAAATCACTTCTAGAATGTGAGTTGTGCTGTGCAGGTTCTCTGAGCAATAATGAGCTTGAGACCTTAAAATGTGGCTTTTATATCCTCAGTTTCTCCTCTTTTTTATGCTTACTGATAAAAACTTTATCCTTTTGAAAACTTGTGTTTGGCAACAGGCATCTACAGAGAAAGCAAAATAGTCAATACACTTCTTAAGATGTCACTACATATTCTAAG